CAAATGGCTGCAGTGATCTGTTCAAATATGTATGTGTTACATATGGAGGATCATGTGCAATACACATTTCATAAGGACGAAAAAGAATCGTCAAAAACATGTGTGATGAAGCCTAATTTCAAAAAAAAAAAAAAAAAAAAAAAACATGTGTGATGTAGAAGATTATTATTTGTGATGGTCATTTGAAGTAGGTAATTTTAAACAAATATTATCATATCAAAAATTGGAATATCTAGTGGTACTAAAAATATGAAATAATAGATTAGATAATAAAAAAGATTATTTAATATATATCCTGTGTTTTTATCTAAAAAAAATTAAGAAATTTGACGTTGTAATTCTCAGAAATACATAGTTTTCTTGAGCTTTCATAGATGAGTGAATTAAAAGACTTGATCAATATGTGTTAAATCAAGTAATGTGACTGGATAAGAATTGATAGATGTCGGGTCGTGTGTACCATGTCGTGTAATTCAGATCAAACAATAAAAGATTGTGTAAAATATTTCTACAAAAAAGATATGAGTTTTTCGAATTATTTTTTGACTTTTGTTTTAGCTGAATCAAATTTCTACAGTTGATATCAGAGTAGGCATATAAACGAAGGAAGGTTCTTCGTACACATATGAGATCATGAGGAGTGAATATGCGACATTGAATAATAATCTTTTGTTTATGAATGATGTGAATTATGAGTATTAGAAATTGAGAGTGAAAGCAAACTTAGGTGGAACTAATATATGTTTGGACGACTGTCCAATGTGGATGGAAAGAACCATATTGACATGAGAAAATGAAGTGAAGACACTTAAACAAAAGACAAAGTTGTCTGTGACTAAGATAAAGTTTTCAAAGTTCAATGTAAAGGCATTGTATACAATTTTTAGTTCTGTTGATGAAAAGCAATTTGTCTTATATAGGGATGTGAATTGGCTATACTACAAACTAGATGATAATCCGCGATATGCGTGGAGTGAATAAATTAAAAAATTATTACATAATATATATATATATATATATATATATATATATATATATATATATTAGAAAGTAATATTAGATATAATGATATATCTTACTATAGTGTGGAGATTTTTATAATGTAAGCTTATTTGATTTTTATATGAAAAAGTTTGTGTAGTTAGATATGTGCATTGAAATATATTATATGAAAAACTATAAAAGTAAGTAATCATTTTTTTAAATTTATTATAAATTTAAGAAAAAACAAAAATAGGTAATAAAATTATGATGATAATAATTAAAGCAACATAAGTAATAGAAAAATAAAACACCAAATAATGTGATTATTGTCTTCAAATCTCATTATAGTACAAAAACCATTTCTATGGTCTCTCCACCAACAGCCGAGTATTGCTTCCAAAGTTGAATGACTTTCACCTTAATCTTTCATAGCGACTTCATTGGTTTAAATCAGAGATGAATTAAACCCTTGCATTTTGAATGATACTTTTAAATCGCTTGGTTTGTGATGGAGTTGTAGGCATAGTATCGACTCCATATATATAGTATTTTGGATAAAAATTTATCACCATAATTAGTATATTTTGCGCTAATTACATATCTTCTGATTGATAATATAATTGTATAGAATCCCTAGTTGATCATGTTTTCCAGTTTAATTACGAAAAACTAATGAGACAAAAATATGTAGAGTTAATGTTTAGATATAGGGAGTTAATACTATGTAATTAATGTCAAATATTCTTAATATAATAAATAAAATTTAAAAGTTAGTGCATATAAGTTAATTGGCTATGTTTCCGGCGAAAACTAAGTATAATTTTTTTCTTAACCTATTTAATCTTTAATTGTTTAGAATATATTATGTTTAGTATGTCTTGAGTTTTTCATTTTGTATTAATAGCTATTTTTAGGCATTCGCTATAATATTTGTGGATTTTTATATGATCAAAACATATGAAAGATTAAATTTGATATACACTTAGCATATTTAATATTTAATTATTTCTAATATATTAAATTTAGAATCAGTTGATTTTTGAATTTTGTATTAATATTAGTACATCAATTTTTGCATTTATGTTAGCGCATTTATGTTAATTGGTAAGAAATCAATTGAAACATATATAAAATAATCAAAATTCCATTAATAGGTAACTAACCATATTTGATGTTCTTCTATTTTAGAAAATAGAAGTCATTTTAATTGGACGTATCTCCACCAACAATTTTAAAATTGTGATTAAACAATCACATTAAATTCGGAATAAAATCTTTTTGACTACTTAATTTAGTGACATAATTTATGTTTATTACCATTTATAGCGGTGATGACAATTATCATAATTATATGAATAATATATATAATTTACTATGTTGTTAATTCTATGAATCCCTAATTTATGTTTATCATTTATTTTTATTATAGTAAATTATATATCGAATAAATAATACATATAGCTTACTATATGTTACTCGAATAAATAATGTAGTATTTTCAGTTACACTTATTTATTATTTATATGTAACGTTATATATAACGTAAATCATAAAAATACCATATAATATAAAGTTATTTTACGTCAGTGACATTTATATACCCTGCTAAATATATAACATGATCGTAAAAAATATTTTTTATATACACTTATTTGCATATTTATTTACATGTAAATAAAATATATTTCTATATAAATAAAGTGAATATGAAAATAAGATAGATATTCATGTTAATATAAAAAATACATTTCTATATCAAACTATATGTTACTCGAATAACATAATACATATGTACTATGAAAATTTATATACGAATTGTTATTCGAATATAAAAATAACATAATATTTTTCGCGTTATTTGAATCTATATGAACGATTAAAAACAATAAGTTTTAATATTTTGATAAAATAACATAGGTATTTTCGAGTCATTTAGTTCTAATGTTACGATGATACATTTGCGGAATGATTTATGTTTTCAACATGCATATATATAGAAACATATAATAAAATAATTTTGTAGGTTGATTTGCCAATGGCATGACATCTAATTAGTCTAGGCCAAAGAGAGTTATTTAAAAAGGGTTGTGAGGCGGAATATGGTGTTGACACCTAAGAAATGGCAAAATTGTGAATCACACATGAAATAAAAGTTTATTTATAAAAGTTCTCCTCAAATAATAAGAAGGGGATATAGATATAATGATTATGAACAAATATAAGAAGATTGTGTGAACACAAAAAATATAAAGATGAAGAGAAGTTTCAATGATAAAAGTTTCATAAAGAGATGAAGATCTTATTAATTTGATAGCTCTTCTTGGAGCTATAGGGTATGAGAAAGAAATCAATGAAGAAAATATACTATTGTGCGCAGTGAATACTAGTGTGTATTCAACACATTGATTCAGAGAGTGATATTGAGGTGGATGTTCTACCTAAGAGTATCATCCTCTGACCCGAAGACCGATTCAAGAAGTCTCATCCACTTCACACCAAGTTTGACTAAAGACTAACGGTAACTACACGCCGTCATCTTATTCGGTTTGGTCATCCGACCGCTAAGCCGAACAAAGCAGTAGTAGTCTGTTTAACCCATAACTTTGTAATAAAACAAAAGTTAATTCCATCAAAATGGAAAATATCCCCCTTACAAATTACAATTTCCTAAAGAGTAAAATTAAATATGTAAAATTACCTTATTAAAAACATGCAGTGTGTAAATACCAATCAAGCCGAGACGAACCGGACCAGAGTTATTTAATTAACGGTGTATCGTTGCGAGGAAAAAAGAGAGAGAGAGCGTTGACCTCAAAGAGTTGAATAATTTTTTTTTTTAATACTTTTATACAATACATATATGTGTACAAGTAGAATCATCGGCTTCACATATTCAAATCTCATCACCACACCGAAAGTTAAAGGTTACGCAAAGTTATTCGCTCCTACTTTTCCGAATCTTCCAGCGCGATCTTTGTCACTTTCTCAACGTATATATACTAATTATCCCTCCAAGAAACCTGTCGTAATGGCTATGGCGAGTCTCTACCGTCGATCTCTTCCTTCTCCTCCGGCCATTGACTTTTCTTCTTCCGAAGGCAAGGTACGAGATCAAGTTTTCGATTCATTAATTTTGGATGAAAATTAGGTTTTATTTATTTATTTATTGGTTGGTTGGTTGACTGCAGTGAGATCTGAGTACAGTTACTGTCTGAAAAGTTAAATGATGTTCTGTTTCTTGTTCGTTTTATTACTGAGGGATAGACTACTTTGTTAGTGTGATCTGTCTTGCTTTTTAATTACTGTCTGAAAAGTATATGTTCTGTTTTCTCAAAGAAAAAAAAAATATATGTTCTGTTTCATATTTGTTAATTATTTTTCTGCAGAAAATATTCAATGAAGCGCTTCAGAAAGGAACTATGGAAGGATTTTTCAGGTTAATTTCTTATTTCCAGACGCAGTCTGAACCTGCTTATTGTGGCTTGGCCAGCCTCTCTGTGGTCTTGAACGCTCTCTCTATTGATCCTGGACGTAAATGGAAAGGTATATTACCATTTTTAGTATCCTTGGTTTAGACTCACTAGAGAAGCAAAATACATCTAGATGGCGTTTTGATATGTTTTTCTTTTTTCCCTTTCTTCGAATAGGGCCTTGGAGGTGGTTTGATGAGTCGATGCTAGACTGCTGCGAGCCATTGGAAGTAGTCAAGGAAAAGGGTATTTCATTTGGGAAAGTTGTGTGTTTGGCTCATTGTTCAGGAGCCAAAGTGGAGGCTTTCCGCACTAATCAGACCACCATCGACGACTTTCGCAAGTTTGTGATTAATTGCTCCACCTCTGAGAATTGCCATATGATCTCAACGTATCACAGAGGTGTATTTAAGCAGGTAAACTCCTGCAGCTTAACTGTTGAGTATTTGTAGCGCACTGTTTTGTTGATGGTCAGTAAATTTTTGTAACAAAACCTTTTTTGGCAGACTGGGTCTGGTCACTTTTCACCTATTGGTGGCTATAATGCTGAGAGAGACATGGCGTTGATTCTTGATGTCGCACGTTTCAAGTATCCTCCTCATTGGGTTCCTATTAAACTTCTTTGGGAAGCCATGGACAGCATTGATGATTCTACAGGGAAACGTAGAGGGTATCATACTCATTTTTTTCATCCTTTTCTTTTATACTGCATCATGATGTAGTTGTTTTTATAGGATATGGTCTGATGTTGTGCTGTGTTGTTCCCAGGTTCATGCTCATATCTAGACCCCACAGAGAACCTGGATTACTCTATACTCTGGTATGTCTTATGCAGGATTGATTGTCTTCTTTTTTGCTGTTAATTGTTCCTCATTTTTCGTTTTTTTTTGTCAATGCAATCTTGTAACTCACAATCTTTCTATGTTATGTGCATTTGAATTTGATTCGCCTTGCTTGAAACTCTGAAGAAACATTTCTTGAACACGTTTGAATGAACTTCAGCTCCTTGGTAATACAAAGCTTGTTAACCAAACTTGACCGGTTGTAATTTTGGTTATCTATGTACCAGTCCTGCAAGGATGAAAGCTGGATCAAAATAGCCAAGTATCTGAAGGAAGATGTTCCTCGTCTAGTGAGTTCACAGCATGTAGATAGTGTTGAAAAGATCTTATCAGTTGTGTTCAAGTCACTTCCCTCAAATTTCAACACATTCATCAGATGGGTAGCTGAGCTCAGAAGAGCAGAGGACACAAAACAAAATCTCAGCGCTGAGGAGAAATCAAGGCTCAACTTAAAGGTACTCTCCAGTGACAAAGCTATTCTTTGGACAATTAAATGTCTAATCTCTTGTTAATAATCTACTGCAGCAAGTGGTGCTGAAAGAAGTGCATGAAACTGAACTGTTCAAACACATCAGTAAGTTCTTATCCTCAGTGGGTTACGAAGACAGTCTGACATATACCGCTGCAAAGGCTTGTTGCCAAGGAGCTGAAATCTTGTCCGGATGCTCCTCAAAAGAGTTCTGTTGTCGGGAAACTTGTGTCACATGTGTCAAAGGTATGTCACAATGTTGAGTCTTATACTTAAGTTTTACTGTTAATTTTGGTTTGTTTTTAACTGTTGAAACTTGTTTCCCCCTCCCTCATCAAAGGTCCTGGCGAGGCGGAAGGCACGGTGGTGACTGGAGTTGTGGTGCGTGACGGGAGCGAACAAAATGTTGATATACTGGTGCCATCGACTCAAACTAACTGTGAATGTGGTCCAGAGGCTAATTTTCCAGCAGGAAACGATGTGTTCACTGTACTTCTGTTGGCATTACCTCCACAGACATGGTCAGGGATCAAGGACCAAGCTCTTATGCAAGAAATGAAGCAGCTCATTTCCATGGCTTCCCTCCCAACTATGCTTCAAGAAGAGGTAATTTATAATACCAATTCTATCTTTGGGAGTCACGGTTCTCTCTCTCTAGTTGAAAAGGGTTTAATCTTTTTTACTGAACAATAAACTAAACCTAAGTTGAGCATGAGAGAGTTTTACCTTTTTGACTGTTTTTGATGTTAACATACAGGTATTGCATCTTCGACGTCAACTTCAGCTGCTAAAAAGATGCCAAGAGAACAAGGAGGAGGAGGATTTCGCTGCACCTGCCTTTTGATTCAGCGACCCAATACTGAAGTCTCTCTTGAATCCCAGTTTCTCAAAAACCTAAATACCCTATAATTAATTATTAGAGTCTCTTTTATTCTATGTATGATTCAAACTCTATGTGTAGCATATGAGTTTCTATCTTTACTACTACGTTAATAAACATCATTCTGTGTCACAATCTATTATATTTGGATGTATGAGTACAGCAGTACAAGCGATGTATAAAACTTGACCCTGCCAATATTGCTCTTTTTAATAATCAAAGGTCGCAAGAGCGGAATGCTCCGTTTCAAAAGTTGTTAGAGCAAGATGGTAGTGAACAAGAGGTTAAACTATGGGTGCGGTCTAACTTGTCTTCAAACTAACTGACTATAGTCCGGAGGCAAAGTACGCAGTAGACTACTGATGGTTTAACCTCCACATATACATGGTTTGGAATAAAAGACCAAAGCTCTCTTCAGAACAAAATCAACAACTCGTATCAAAATTCCAGTATCTATAATGTTCACCGGCACAATGAGCTTTCAGTTTGGTTTCTCTATTGTGATATCTCAAACTAGGATATTTCTTTCCAAGAATATAAACATAAAAGATTTAATTCTTCAACTGAACACAAACTCTTTGAATTTGGGCTACAGGTAAATCTCATTGTCCCTCTCTCTTAATTCAATAGAAAGAGAAAGACCCTCATTGTTCCTCTCTTAATTCAATCTGAACTGTTCTCATATTTTCTTTTCAAACTCTATTTGCAAAGACAGAGACTGTGCTCATCCTCAGATCAATGCCTCATCAAAACCAACTACATAACATATGCAATCTATATATATAATATAGTAAAGTTATTATCACTCTACTCTCTACTCCAGATAACGAATTCACTCACTCACACACACACACACAGGTCTTTAGTTACATACCAAAAGTCTCTCTACATATTATTATTCTATACTAAATCATTACCATTCCAAAGAACGAATCCTGCGCAATAACATCGGTCCCTGCTCCCGCTTCTGCTTAGGAGGTTTCTCATCAACAGGAATCACAAACTCCATCAACCTCTTAAACCTCTCTTTCCTCTTCTCTTCAATCTCCACAGAAAGCTTCTCATTCTCCGCCTCAAGCTTCGCAGCCAAAGTCTCCAACTCAACTTGATAAGCCTGCTTCCTCTCTCTAGACCTCGCAGCAGACTCACGGTTCTTTATCATCCTCCTCTGCCTCTGCGCCGCCGCTTTATCCAACGGCTCCATCATCACCACTCTCGCTCTCTTCCCTCTCGCTCCCCCTCCCCCTCCTCCTCCGTACACATCCACACCGTTCCCAAACGCAACGATCGATCCTTCCACTTTATCAATCATCTGAAACGGATTGTGATGATCGAATCCGTAACTCTCCGTCGTCGTCGTCGTCGGAATCTTCACATCCTCCGCCTCTCCTGCTGTGTCTTCGCCGGTCGCTTTCGCTAAGAAATCCTCTAACGTCATCATCTCCTCCTCTTCTCCTTCTTCTTCCTTCATCGATTTCCCTTCGATCTCTCGCCACACCTCGTCGACGCTCTTCCCGCGCGTCGCCGTCGCGGAAACCGTCGCTTCATCCATCAGGAGCGAGGACTCCGCGGCCGGCGGATCCGAGGCGAAAGTCTCGTGGAGAATACCTTCGACGGTCATTGTACCGGGACTGTAACCGTCGTAACCGCCGATGAGGGGATGTTGTTGTTGTTGAGGTCTTATAGAGGAGTGGATGCGACGAGATGGATCCGAGTTTGTAGATGTTGAGGAATGCATCACCTTAAACGACGCCATTTTGAGCGGAACGAGTCTGTTTCGTCTCGCCGGAATCGGATCAGAGAATCGCTTTGTAGATTTCTAATTTTGACTCGGCCCCGAAGATGGTGAGATTGGGCAACACGTGCTTTATGTAGCGCGTTTGATATGAGTTTTCAACGAAACGATAAGAGTCTTTTAACTTTATGGGCGCGTGGGGGAAGTTTCTGTCTCGTGACGTGTCATCATTATGTGGTTGTAACACTTAACTATCAATTACTATTTTTTAAGATATGATTAGTGCAAATAATTAAACTTCAGCTACTTTGACTTAACTATACTAATAATATACTTGTATTAATTAATTACATATCCCCTCACTGTATTGACTTACAAGGATTTGTAGTATATTCGTAAAACTATTCTAGTATGTTGTGTATGTGAGTACTCAGAAGAAAAAAAATGAAAACAAAAATGGAAATCTGTATATTAGTGTTGTTGTTATGTCATTGTCCCATTTGAATTATGTAACTTATGCTTTGTGTGGAAGTTAACGGACTTAGGTGTATCAAGTTTTCACACGTTTGGAATCAGCTTTTAGAACTTTCAGTTTAGACATAGCTCTTGAGATTAAAAATGATTTGAACATGAGGCACAAGGAAACTAGTCTCTTTGAATTACTATTAACCCTCTATCATTACTTTTTTTTCTTTTTGTTTTTGCAACTGATTTTGCCATCATTACTTTTGAACTCATTTTATTTATAAATTAAAAAACCAGCAGGGTATCATTGACAAAAAATGAGTTTGGACAATAACATCGAATTAAACAAAAGTAACTGCGGACTGTATTAAGTGAATTTATTCGCAATCATCATAAAATAATAAATTTTAATGCTAAACATGGTGAGTACTAATTACAAAGTGCTTACTTTACTATCCGGATGAGAAATACACAAATGGAAATAAAAGTATTTGAACAGGCAAAACAAATTGTACTCCTTTTTTACCCACAAAAAGAGTTTTTGTACATATGATAGTTCAACCATCGTTATTTGGTTCCACAAAACACTATAAACAGATAATAATATACATGTAGATCGAAAAAGGGTTCTAACATGAAAAACCCCAAGTCAGACAAATAACACAAAGCCTTCTTCAGGAGAAGTCTCACTGTCGCCGATCTCTACGTGGAAGAGACCGGTGGCTTTCGTGGTTGTCTGAAAGTTGTTCCCAAGCGACCAAGGAAGAAGATCCAAACCTCTTCCTCTTCCCAAAACACTATTAAAGAGAGCAAGAAAGTATCTTGGGGAATCATTTTATGTTAAATGATAAAAAATGAATCATTTTTTTGCTCATCATAACTAAATAGCAAAAAAAAAAAACCTGTGTTATGTTATTTTCTAAGCTCCTGATGCAATGTGTAATTAATTACCTATTATTGAAGGTCGCTAAAATGGAGATCCGAGTGGTTCATCCCAAACATCTGCACTCCCATTCGACACTTCCTCCACATCTTCTTCCATTGATAACCTCACATACTCTCTTTGAGCAAACCGGTCCCATTCTGTCAATGTTGGATTTTCCCGCTCCTACGATATGGAAAATAAAAGATGTTTTTCAGTAGCAATCAAGTTAACTGAATCTCTTACATATTGTTTCATAATATTGTTCCATAGTTATGATAGACTATCTAAACCTTCTATAAATCTTTTCACGAATAAGTATAACCCACTAGGGTGGTTTTAAAAGGATTCATAACCGAAGGGAGGGGCACTCTGCAAAAAAGCTGCGCTCACCTGGCGAATGAGGAAAGGGTCACGGGTTTCAAACGCCATGAATTTGTTTAAGTTGAATAGTATATTGAATATGTTTCCAGAAAGTTTCGATGCTTTCAGATCCTGGAGTGTGATGCAGTTCTCCTTCTGAAAATAAGAACACTCAACAAAATGATGTTTTAAAAGAGAAAAAAAACACACAGGAATATCATAAGACAATGTTGCGGTTTGAAAGAACTCTTGCCTCGGGTTTAATCATGTCAAATATTTGACATAGGATATCCTCGAAGAGTACAGGTTCTTGGGTTATGCACTCCATGCGATGCAGCTGCTCTTCATAGAAAAACTGCATTTCGTTCGGACTGATTACCCCATCTCCATCCAGGTCTATGCACTTGAACCTACAACGAAGGTTTTAAAATTAATACCATAGGAAAAAGAAGGATCCTGTGTTTCCATGGCAGACAGATGAGTATACCAGTGAGGCATGTACTCATATCAGCGGTTCAATAGAAATTGTTTTCATTAAATTAATGAATGAAAAAATGATCCACAAATCACTATCCAGACAAATGTTTTAGTTTCAATATGGGCTTTCTTTCAGGTACTGGCACACCTTAGTGGTTTAGTGAATAAAAGTTTCAGGGAGACATTTCATCAACAAGGCCACACGTTTTGGCTCAGATGATATACATTAATATTGACATATCCTGATCTCAGCAGCTAAAGGAAAAAATGGCTTAAGAGAAGTCGATATATACAAAAGCAGAGAAGGGGCGAGATGTGTACCAATACTCAAGGCTAGGCTCAGATGACTTATCCTCCTCAGCGAGAATGAAGTATGCAAAATCTTCATAACTCATCTTGCCCTCAACTTTGCTTGTAAATTGCCTAGGGACCTAAGTCAAGAGATAGCCGTAGTGTGAATCTCAACAAGACATGATTAAGTTTTGAAAACAAGTATTCAAACATTCGGACATATGAAGTCAACCTGTGAAAATATTCTGTCGACAATCCTGTAGGTAAGAGCATGATTACCATATTTGATGAGATTTTCCTTATCAATAAAGAAATCATGGTCGCCATCGAGTTCCCAAAATCTGCAGTAGATAACGTAGAAATGCTCATAGGAGAAGTACCTGAAAAGCAGAGAAAAACGGTCAAAAGCAGGCATACGGTCCTGTCTCAGCAATAATATGGACTACAGACACTTCTTCAACTCTATGACTTATTCGGGTGGTGCTTATGTCTTAGAAACAATGTGAAGATGTAAGCACTACCCATATTACTCACAGGTTAAAGCGCTGCACGGTTTTGTTTTCGGAGCTTAAATTCTTAAACATATTTTCATTATAAATACAAATTTGAACTTGAAATCTTTTCGGAGTATGAGGTTTAAGTAGTTATGAAATGGAAAACTTAATCACCTAATAACTTTATTGATGTCGTCTTCTTCATCAAGTTGTTGCATAGCAGCAATAAGATTACCACGCTTCAGCTCCCTAAGAGTAATACAGCCAGTTCCTGATCTGTTTATGTAGTAAAATATTCTGTAGATGACGGTCTCAGCTGGGTAGATGGGAAAGAACACAATGATAAATGAAACAAGCACAGGAAAAAAATTGTGATTTAGTAAATAGATGTGTAAAACAGCAATAGCCAAAGAAATATACTAATAATGAAAATATCCGTAGAAGTAGCAATAAAAGAGTTATATACATTTTTCATTGGCCAAACAAATAGCCAAAGAAGTCACTTTCAAGCTCGTCAATGTGTTCTTATAATACAATCAATTAATGGCTTATAAACTATTGATATTTAACACCATAACATCAATGTATCACAAACGAACTCAGTTCTTACCATATCTTTCTTGAAATTCAGGTGTGTTCCTCAGGAATTCCAAGCCAGGATGGGTTATCAGTAACTCATCAAGAACTGGTTTGAAGTCGGCCTATCCCCAAACCCAAGAAGATAGAAGCCTTTAGTACAATGGACTAAAGAAAACAAGAGAGACGATAATCTTTGGCATACAAACAAAGATAGTGAAGAACAGAGAGAGAATCACAAAGAGACCTGTTTAAGGTACTTGCAGCCTGGCTGCCTCAAAAGATTGTATATCTGTGAGGCTAAGTCCATTGCCAACATATGTTCATCAACCCAATACTTTATAAATGCATCCCTGCGGGTAAACATTATATTCAGAGATATAAATTAAACAGAATCTATGTAGGTGCATAGATACATCAAAACTACTTAACAACGTATGTTTTATAATTAATCAAGTTCTGCCTAATTGGAAGACATCAATTCCTACAAAAACTCTACAGCATAGATAAACAATTTAAAATAATCGAGCACACCAACTTTCTATAAAGAAAATATAAATAGTTATATAAAGTGCTTAGATAAAACAGAAAAAAAACGATAGCAATCAAGTATCAGAGTAACTATGCCACTGTGAATCTACTTCGAGGGCGTGCAAGTGACGAAGCGTGAATCCAGCTATCCAGATCACCTTATGTTTCTATTGTGTTACATATACACTAGTATACAAGCATACCTATGTTTATACACTTAATAAATACGCAGATGAAAGAAAGTACACAATGAGTTACCTTGTGACGATACCAGTGGAACTAGTATCTATCTTTCTAAAAAGTACAGAAGAAAGAAAAGAAGGTAACTTGCAGACTTCTTTGGTAATGGTTTTGAACTCTGTAATTGGAAAGGAATGTGTTTGTAAGATAAAATGTTTGCCTATTTCTTACAGAACGAAAGCGAAGTAGAAAAGTTTGAATTCAAGCATTCACCATCTATACGAAGTCCGTCAATATAGTTACTAAAAAGATGATCAACCATGGATATACATTCCTCCTTCAGTTCTTTCGCAGGTGGACGCCCGTGTTGGAAGTAAAACTGCATAGCATATCAAAGCATAGAACTCAAACAAAAATGTTGAACACTATTACCTAAACCCTTCACCTAAACCCTGTAACATACTGAAGGACTACCATAATAAACTTGCACTTTGTCATGGTTTTATGAACAAAATTGTGTATCTATTCTACTTAACAGAAGATATAGTTTCTACTAAACTTCGTGCTCATGTTTCAGCAACTATTTAGAAAGCAATTTCAATCTAGTTTCAACAATCATGTGAGAAAACATAAGAAAAAATACAAATACCATGATGCCAAGCAAGGAAATCCCTTCTCTTGTAAGAAATCTAACTGTAATAAAAAAAAACATCCATAAGAAGAGCAGATGGAGATAAAATCAAAACCTGAGGAATGAGTTGACGCTTTGGTTCCCTGGCTGATTTCAGAGGAGACTGCAGAGAAGAAGGGCTCGTCCTTTGCCTCGAAAACCGGGGAGACCCAGATGAGCTTCGTGGGGAAAGCGGGGGAGTGCCGCTGTTCAGAAACACTGATGGCAATGCACTTCCGCAAGAAATATTGAGATTGGCACAGTTCTTGGATACACTCACTGGTGTACTAGATTTAGTATCATCAATCAAAGACTTCACCTACACAAAAACATTACACAGAAGGTCACGAAAAACAACAAACAAACAAACACTTCCGCCAAATGTTTATTCCCCATATGATTAATTCAAAGCCATAAAAAGTCCAAGAAATACTGAAACCTACATGAGTCCTCATACAACACTGGACCATATTCTAAGGGGATTCAAGCTAAACAGATACAAATACAAATACTTTCCAAAAGCTTACTAGAGACTCTTGATGTATCCCAGTGCATTCTCAACCTAATATCATTCTATCCCATTAAAGCAGATTCACAATTTATCTAACAGTAAGTGATAAACAGGTTCCTAGTGAATTAAATGATTAACCGTACATAAATAAACAAAATCTTTTTATGGTCTCTCAACTAGATATACAGTAACATGTATATACACCACGGGCTTGGGAATAAAATTTACCAAACGGGCAGTTTCAGGGAGTGAAAGCCACTGGGAGAAGAGTTCTTCAGCGATAAGAGGGTTTGCTTTAACCGACAAACCGGGAAGCTGCAAGAGCTCGGGATCCAATATATGAACATCGTTCACACCATCTATATCCATTTTATCTCCTCCTAATCTTATCGTATCGATATTTAAAAAAAAAAATAAGAGAAATCTAGAGATGCTGATCCGCAAAAACGAAAACCCTAACCGGTTCGATAAAACCTAGATAGATTCCAAAGGGATTCTATTCACAAGCTAAATAAAGACTTTCTTCTACAAAATTCGAAATACTAAGATTTCTGATCAACGACAAGAACTACGATCAATACAGAGATAAGTGGGAGGAGAATTTTCAAGGAAAGGGTAATGATTGTGATTTTAATACTCAGCTCAGCGGTGGTTTTTGTTTTTTCACTTTTAGCCCCTCACTCTTGACCAATTAGTCAACTAAATTGCAGAATCCTTTTTAGTCCACCACTTTAATTTTAAATTCATCAATAATTACTATATAAATTAGATTTAAATTCAAATTCGAAGAAAAAAGGTTTACTAATAATAATAAAATTATATATTTTATCTGCGTTTTCATTTATGTTATGTTAATATATCAAATCACCAATGTTTAAATGTATTTTATCAGAGATTTAATTTCAACATATGTAATATTATTTAAAACTACATACATAATTGAGAAAATTGTTCAAGTTTGCGATACTGATGATATGTGTAATGTGAAATTTGAAAATAAGAGATTACAAAAAAATAAAAATTTGTATGATATCCTTTTATCTTATAAAGTTAATAGTAATTACTATGATCAAGGAAAAATGTAGAGAAATTGCACTGTATACACACCAATAATCGAGAAATTAGATATATACCGTAACCATTTTTTTTTTTTTTAATTCTACTATTACCCTTAGTCTCTTCTCTTTCCTCTTTCTTTGGTTTTTGTAACTACATATTAATTAAAGCCCTTTATCAAAAAAAACTACATATTAATACTATGATTCATCTATACTATTAATTGAAATTGTAATTTTTTTTGCATATTCAATAACATATAAATTACTATGATCCTGAAAATATGTTTTAGTTTAAAAAAATATAATTTGTAATGTTTCTAGTATAAATAATTGATAATTTATAGTTTCACATAAGTTTTGGTTTGTTCCACTCGCCCTTAGCCTTGTGCTACGTGTAGAGTATTTTTTGTGTAATACAGTATATGTGCTGCGTTACTACACATTGGTATTGGATGGACTTTGCTTTGAATAATAGAGTGTTAAAAAATAGCATTGTCTATTGTAAATTTGTTATAATATTTTATAATGGTCTTTGCTTTGAATAATTGAGTGTTAAAACAAAATAGCATTGTCTATTGTAAATTTGTTATACTATTTTATAATAAACTAGGTA